ATTTTGTAGGTATACTCAAGCACAGGCAATTAAAACATCATGATGGAGCAAAAGGTGGAGAGAAGGGGATATGCTGAAATCTTATTTCAATATAAAAGCTTATAACATTAAACTCAGGAAAAGGATCATAAGGAAAATAACGTCTGCTTCATCAGTATGGAGGATTATCAAACCCCAAATTGGGGGCTGAACCTTCTGACCAGCAATCATTACAGAGGAAAGGTCACCTCACATTTAAGTTGCTTCCCCAAACCAGTGCAAACTTCCATTTACTGCCTTACTGTCCATAGGACTGTCTCCTCTGGCTTACTGCAAACAGGCAGGCAGTGAGCAGACAGCAGAGAGGCATGGACAGAGGACACCAGGGAATTTTCATAAAACAAGCTGAAGCATACTCAGGACTCTTGACCCAGGGCAGTTTCTAGATTGCTGACCATCTCTGGCCAGTAATCCTCTTGGCAGCCAGCAAACTCTGGTTTCTCTCTGCTTACTACAGAGGGGAGGGGTTCTGGTAGCGTAGTGGTTATGAGTTCAGACTGCTAACCTCAAGGTCAGCAGTTCGAAACTACCAGCTGTTCCACGGGAGAAAGATGAGGCTTTCTGCTCCTGTAAAGATTTACAGACGCAGAAACCCTATACAGGGTCACCACTATGAGCTGAGGAGTCCTGTTGTGGCACTGAGAGTTGATCTTCAAGATTGGTGGTTCAAACATCACCGGCTGCTCCTAGGAAACCCTATACAGGGTCACTATGGGTCAGAACCAACTCTGCGGCACTTAACAACAACAACGATGAATTGGAACCGACTCCACAGCACAAAACCACCTCTATAGAGGGGACTCAGAATCCACCTATTTTCTAGCAGGTTAGGGAAAGTGGAGACCAGTTATGCAACCAGTCACAAAGGAAGCTGGTGAAGTTTGGGGGAAATAATCAAAACATGGAAGGCTGGTTTTCAGGTCTGTCTTTTAACCCTTTCATGACTGAATACTTTTGTGTGTTAGATTTGGTTAACAGAAAGCAAGTCTTTAGTAATGGAATGCATGCTGAATAACTGAGTCATGTTAAATTTTGTTAGGTAAGATGCATTTTGATAAATAGCATGTGGGAGATATTTGTTCCCCTGGATTCTGGCAGTAGGGAGTGGGAAGAAGCATGAGAAAATAATTTGTTTTTAGCAAATTCATTTTACTGTGTGGAACTTTTGGAAACAGGGTAACAAAAGGCGTGCTGCAATGTTTGTACATAATTGTTGTTGCAGTCTCCTTCTTAGTGCCACATTCTATATATTACCTTCTAGACTCCTAGACAGGTAAATGCTTTTCAACCTGTAGGAGCCATAGAACATAGCTTACTTCCAGCTTGTTCTTCACAAGAAAGAGAGGCTTCCAATTCTGATTTCCCAGCAAACAGTAAGTTGCCTATGAGAGTGAGCCTGAAGTAGAGCTGGTCATATCGGCCTTGGTTGCTACAAGGTGCTGTAAACAAGAATTGGCATAGTGGCATGGGGTGGGGTTAGGGAGCAGTTGGCTAACAAATGTAGAGAGTGTGCGTGAGTTGTGTAAAGACATGGCATTGTGCCTGAAAGAAATTCTTCACTTGAAAATTACATCATCCCTAAAGCCACAATTTCCACATGACACACGGCTTATCTCTCTATTGTTGTTGTTAAGTGCCATCTAGTCAGTTCTGACTCTTAGAGACCATGTATAGGGTTTCTGAGGAGTGGGAGGTGAGCTTGAACCACCAACCTTGCTGTTAAAACCAATTTTGCAGTCCAGCGCATTAACCCACAGCACCACACCAGAATTTCTATCTCTCTGTGGTGGTGGTGGTGGTGGCAGTGTGACATGGAGTTGGTTCTTACTCATAGTATAGGGTTTCTGAGGCTGTAAATATTTATTTACAGGAGCAGAAAGCCTTATCTTTCTCCTGCAGAATGGCTGGTAGTTTCAAACTGCTGACCTTAAGGTTACCAGCCCAACTCATAACCTCTATGCTACCAGAGCAAAAGGCAAGAAAAAAGTTTTAAACATTCACATCTGTGGGACTCACCCCATCATTCAGAACCTTCTAATCACCACAACTTGGTGCCAGCAAACATTTCTTCAGTTATAAACAGTTATACATGTCCCCATCAGATGTCAGCACTAGCATCCCAAGACACAAAAGAAGCAAAAAATATAAGCGTGTCAAGAAAGGATTTCAAAACTAGTGGTGGAGTACAAATGGTAATGGGGTCCTCAGCTAACCTAAAGGCCGGAAGTGTGTCTACCCACAGGCACCTGGAAGAAAAGGTCTGACACTCTACTTTTGGAAAATCAGTGATTGCAAACCCTGATACACATGGGTCTCCATGAGTCAGAGTCTGTGAATGGAAACTTTTTTTTTTTTTTTTCTGGTAAAACTGTTGTTAATTCGTTGCCATTGAGTTGACTCCCAACTCATGGTGACCCCATACACAGTGAGATTGGGCTGTTGTGAACCACGGAGTTTCTGTTGGCTGATTTTTGGAAGTGGATTGCCAGGCTTTATCTTAGTTCATCACCAGTCCGGAAGCTCCACTGAAACCTGTTCTTCAGCATCACAGAAACACACAAGCCTCCACTGACAGATGGCCGGTGGCTGCATTTGAGGTACGCTGACTGTGAATGGACTCTGGATCTCCCATCTGGAAGATGATGATTCTACTCCCAAATCAAACAATACCAAAACCAAAGCCATTGCCATGAGTTGATTCCAACTCATAGTAGCCCCATAGGACAGAGAAGAACTGCCCCCTAACGTATGCAAGGCTGTAATCTTATGGAAGCAGATTGCCTCATCTTTCTCCTTCGGAATGGCTGTGACACGGTGCTTAATCACAGGTACAGCAACCAACTCCAGGCCTCAGATGCCTGGCTTCCATCATCTTCACCTGTGACCTAATGAAGCTAATGCGTCTGGAGAGGGGATGGGGCTTCACCCTGCTGCTGAAGATGGCAGGGGGACCTGGCCAGCTTGGTACACTGGCATCTGTATTGTGGAATATTTTCTGATCTGTAAAATTGGGATAAGAGTACCTACTTTATAGGATTGATTGAGATCACACACATGAAGCAGGCTTAGCCCCATGACTCTTCATAAATTTTTTTTTTTTTAAGTTAATGAAGGAAAGAAAAACAGAGAATCTGGCCTGTCATCCAATACATCCCCTTTCTGAAAATGTCAATTCTTTCTCCATCTCCTTTCCTAATAACAAGTAGACGGAGAAAGAAGAGTGGTTGGGAGTGGACTGAAAAAAAGAAACACAGGCACAGTGAGGGTAATGAGCCCCCAGGGGCAATCTCTAGATCTGTGCTTCTCCCCTAACCCCAAAGCCTCACAGACTGGGGATGTATGTGATTTGCTGGCAGGCCTTGTCTAGCGCCCCCTGCCCACTGCTCTCCCCACCCCCTCCGGCTTTCAGCATCCTCCTGGACCTGAAGTCATTGTTGTTGATTGCCTTTGAGTTGGTTGTTGCTGTTATGTGCCGTGGAGTCGGTTCCAACTCATAGCGACTCTGTACACAGTTTCCAACGTTATAAATCTTTACGGGAACAAAAAGTACCCTCAATTCACCCCTGCCTGACTGCCACCTCTGAAAAACAGGGGAAGAGTATCATTAGACTGCCGACAAGAGCCTGGACCACAGTCCCTGACTACCCAACCTCTCATCTCCACCAGGAGAAAATCAAACACGGAAAACCTTTTGCAGCAGTCCCAAGAATACTTCCTGTATTGACACCTGGGATGTCTATCCAGGATGGAAACATTCAAGCTCTTCCCCAAGTTGCACTGTAGAAGAAAGGGAGGCTGAGCTTAGACAAGATCTTCCCATTAAAGGGCCCCCTTCAAGTAGTTGACAGTAAATGGTCCTTGTGAAATCAGGGTTCAGGAGCTAGCAGCAAGAAGACCTGATCCTCTGCACCCTCTAATAGAGGACCATGGGTTTCTCTTTCTATAAAGTTAACTCAGTGACATCTGACTCAACAATTAACCAGCATCGTGCCTTATTATGCCGTAAATGTACAAAGTAGACAGTACATTTGAATGAACAAGAGAAATGGATTCCTGTTCTTAAGGACTTTGTAATCTAGTAGAAGCATACACATAAACCACAACTGTTGTACAAAACAGGAAAACATGAAACCTTAAAGGAGGCCCAAAGAGGGCTGAGAAAGGATTGGTGATTTCTTCAGAGAGTGGAAACCTCATGAAGTCGCTTTCATCTCCTTCCTACCACTGACACAGGGCCTGGACATTAGTGGCTATCTCCAGAAAAGGCTGAACCATTGTGTACTACATGCGGATTCATTTTCAACCCTGCCGACCTAGTGTATCAAACCCTCTGGCGAAAACGGTCCAGGTCCATTCCATTCCCCTTTCTCAGGACAAATTTACTACCCCTTTTAACGGAGATCCCTTTATCTGCGCCCCCTCCTCTGACTCAATGTGTTAGGGAGGCTAGCAGCGGCTAGAGGCTAGGCTGTTTAACAAACCTGGTACAGGGTCTAGCACATAGCAGGGGGGCATAAACAAACACCTTTGATGAGGACTGGCGGCAAAGCTAGAAATACGGCTGCCCAAAGTCCTTGGCCTTTCTGAGTGGGTGATCGGACTCTTAAGAGAGAAGCTGTGTCCTCAGTCACCCCACGCACTCAAGCTACCCCTCCCCAGCAAACTTTCTCTGGGGGATGTTGATTGCGGTAGGTGGTGCAGCGGATGGACGGGGGAGGGGTCGCCAGGGGCCTGGGTCCAAGTTCACGCCTCGCTCACTCCATCCTACGGTCGGCGGAAGCGATTATTCCCCACCGGCGTCTGGCGGGGCTGGGGGCGTGCTCGCACCCCGAGGAGGCACGGGCCTCCCCGCGTCCACCTCTTTGATCCCGGCCCTGCCCGGCCCCCTTACCCGGCTCCGGGCCCGTATAACTTGAGGGCGTCTCTCCTCCCGACGGGCGGTGCACTGGGGTCGCGCAGTTATGGCCGCAGCAGAGTCCAGCCAGTTCCAGTTAGGGGAGAGCGTCCCGGTCCCCGGCTACAGGCCCGCCCCCGCCGCCGGGACCTTCCTGCCGCCCCCGCGCCCTGTGGCTGCTCTGCTTCCAGCGCTGCCTCCGGGTCCCGGCTCCGTGTGCTGTGCTCCAACGGCGGCGACCTTCGCTGGATATCCCGGGAGGGGGCCCGGGGCTGTCGCGCCGCCTCCCGCCAGCCTGGGCCCGCCGGCGCCCCCAACAGGCTCGGCCGCCCCGTCGGCGTCGCAGCGCCGCAAGCGCACGTCGTTTAGCTCTGAGCAGCTGCAGCTGTTGGAGCTCGTCTTCCGCAGGACAATGTACCCCGACATTCATCTGCGCGAGCGCCTGGCCGCGCTGACCCTGCTCCCGGAGTCCAGGATCCAGGTGAGCGGCTCGGTCAGTTCGACGGTTCGCCGTTCGCCCTGGAGCGGAAGGCACTGAGAAAAGCTGGGATGTCGTACTCCTGAGGCCAGATCGGCTTGGGTTGCGGTGGGCAAGTTACTTACCTTGAGCCTCAGTGCCCTGGGCTGTAAAATAGGAATAACAGTACCTAAGTTCCTAGGGCGTTTGTGAGGCCTACTTGAAATAATTCAAGCCCGCACTCAAACTGTCAAACAAGTAAAATTTCAACAGGAATATGATGAAGAGTATGTTTACATATCTTCCTCATCCAGATGAGTTTGCCTCTGGCTTTGAATTTGGAATGCTAACTGATAAAGAGCAGGGTTGGCCCACCAAATGACTCCCTCTTCACTTTCTTGGTATTATTGGTTTGGGCTTTTGGTTGAAAAGGGTGTTTGCCTTTTTGTCACAGTTTGAACCAATCTCTTGCCTTAAAATGAAATCTAGCATAAGGTGCTTTTTATTGCCTGAAGTAATTTCCATCAGAATCCTGAAGCTTGGTGGTCACGAGAAGCGTACCTTTTTGCCTGTTAGTATGTATTACCTTGGTCTGCAAGGAGGTAGCATAGTGGGTTAAGAGTTGGACCGTTAAGGTCAATAGTTGGAATTTACCAACTGCAAGAAAGATGAGACTTACTGATCCTGAAACCTTATACAGGTTGCTTTGAGTCAGGTTCCGGGGCACACAACCACCTCCACTTTGGTCTGCATCCCAGTCTGGTACTGAGGGAAAAGAAACCAAAACTCAAACCAGTTGCCACCGAGTTGATTCCAGTGCATGGACAAGTCAGGGTTACACCATCCATGGGTATGGGAAGAGAGCTGTCCTCTATAGGGCTTCTAATGGCTGTGATCTGTCAGTATATAGCCAGGAAGAGTCAGGCTTTTCTTCCATGGTACCTGTGGGTGGATTCAAACCACCAACCTTTAAGCTGAATGCCTGACCAGCTGTGTTACTAGTGATTCCTGCAGTTTTAGGTTGTTGTTGTTGAGTCGTTACAACCCATAGCTACCCTGTATAGGGTTTCCTAGAAACAAATAGTGAGCTTGAACCACCGACCTTGCAGTTCAAACTGACTTTGCAGTCTGGCGCATCAACCCACAGCGCCACACCAGGACGCTCATTTTAAGTTGTTGTTAAGGCCGTTGAGTCGATTCTGACCCATAGCGACCCTGTATAGTGTTTCCAAGGAGCAGCTGGTGAGCTTGAATCACCGACCTTGCAGTTCAAACTGACTTTGCAGTCTGGCGCATTAACCCACAGCGCCACACCAGGACTCCCATTTTAAGTTAGGGGCTCTCCTTTTCACACTGGAAGAGCATGGACTTTTTTCTCTGCATTCCTTGTGGTAATTCATCTGTCAGTTTCAACAGTTGCCGAAAGAGCTCCTACCAGATAATTTCTGTATTTGTGAGGAAATGGTGAGCAGAAAATTTCATTCACAGAACTGAAGTCCACTGAGTAAACTATCTCCTTGATTAATTTGACAGGGGAGTTGGTGGTGGTGTTAAATGCTGTGGAGTCAGTTCCAACTCATAGTGACCCTGTATAGGGTTTCCAAGAAACAGCTGGTCTGTTGGGTTTGAACTGCCGACCTTGTCATTCAAACTGAATGCTTACCCTACAGCACCACACAAGGGAGTTGTTGTTGTTGTTGTTAAGTGCTGTGGCGCCCGTTCTGACTCATAGTGACCCTTATATGGTGTCCGAGGAGTGGCTGGTGAGCTTGAACTGCCGACCTTGTGGTTGAAACTGACCTTGCAGTCCAGTGCATTAGCCCGCAGTGCCATACCAGGACTCCACACAAGGGAGTAGAGATCTTTAAAAAAACTGATTTTCTAAATCATTTTAACATCTATCATCTTTAAGTGTAAGTGGCATGTTTCATAAGAATTCTAAATAGAATTTCTAAACATTCTAAGTGCTTCTACTTCCATTTTTCATCACATATAACCTTATAAAGAGAAGTAGGCATTATTCCAATTCTGCATATGGAAATAGTGAGGCAGGAAAAGCCAGACGTCCTGTGCTTCTAACCACTGGTCTGAGTACTTTCTGAAAACCACAGATCTCTTGGATCAGGAAATGCTAAACTTGAACTTACTGTGTTGAACAATGAACATAACACTAACATAAGCATTTCAGCAAAAAATGGTTTTCTTCTCTCTTCCAGGTGTGGTTCCAGAACAGGCGTGCCAAGTCACGGCGTCAGAGTGGGAAGCCCTTTCAGTCAGCCAGGCCGGAGCTTTTCCCCAACCACTCTGTTCCTGCTACTGAAGCAAAATGTTTGAAGCCTCAGCTGCCTCTTGACGTAGAGCTGAACTGCCTACTTGATCCCAGCAGGAGCGGAGGGGGCCTCTCTGACACTAACTCCCAAGGCCAGAGTTTTGAAACCTATTCCCCTCTCCCTGAAGACACTGGCTCAAAGCTGGGCTTGTGGGAAGAACATATCTTTTCTGCCTTTGGTAGCTCCTGAGGATTCTGGGGGAACTCAAGTTAAACTCAGAGGAGCCACAATTGATGGCCAGGGAGACATTCATCAGAATACTGTATTTTCTGGCTTTCATGTTAAGAACTTTTGTAAGGACACTTGAGGGTGGTTTTGACTATTCTCACCTCTGAGGGTCTCTCCACTTTCACTCTGAACCTTTCCCCAAGGCCAGATCTGGCACTCACTTTACCACTTCATCTCTGCATCTACACATTTAATTCCATCTGCATCCCTGCTCCTCCTTGCCAGTCCTATTCTTCTTTTGGGAATCCAATTGTTTAGAACTCATTATCTTTTTTTACAAGACCCTTCCCCTCCCCCCCAAATTGATCCTGTTTCTCTTTTATACACCCATTTTCTTGTCTGCCTCCAATGTTTTTAACATTCAATTGACTGAAAGCCATCCCCTTCAATGTCATCCTATCACTAAGATTTATTACTTAGAAAAAAAAAATTGGCTTGTCATCTTTATACTTCATGATAGCTCTTATGACTCTATCTAGATTATCTCAAAAGCTCCCTGCCTCTCAACTGCTCCTTAAAATTATCTTCTTTTAAAAAAAGACCCACTGCCATTGAGTTCATTTGACTCAGTGACCTTATGTAGGATTTTCGAGGCTGTAAATCTTTAAGGGAGCAGAAAGCCGTCTTTGTCCTAAGAAGCTGCTGGTGGTGTTAAACTGCTAAGCTTGTGGGTTGGTTAGTAGCCCAGCGTGTAATCCACCACGCCACCAGGACTCTTTAAAACCAGAGCCACTATCATGGAGTCAATTCCAACTCTTAAGTAACCCTCCATAGGATTTCTGAGGCTGTAAATCTTTACAGAAGACAGCCTTATTTCTGTCCTATGGAGCAGCTGGTGGGTTTGAACTCCTCAGTTGTGGTAGGAGTCCAGTTCTTACCCTATAAGGCCACCAAGGCTCCTTTCTTAGAACTCGTGGTTTTTTGTGAAGGGACGTTGAGTCAGTTCTGACTCACAGTGACCCTGAATAGGGTTTCTGAGGAGCAGCTGGTGAGTTTGAACTGCCAACTTTGCAGCCAAACTGACCTTGAGGTCCAACTCTAGTAGCTTCTCATTCCTAACAAATTATAAAAATCCTTCAGTTATCCTTTCAGATAACCATCTTTAGCTACAGAACAGTCATGCAAATCTCATGGTCTCCCAACCACAACTTGTGCCTCTGTCTCCATGGCGACTCCTTTCAGTCTGGGATCCCATAGACTACCTTTCTCAATTTCAAACCCCTCATTTCCCGCTTTCTGAAGACTGATTTTATACCTGTTAACCCAACCATTCCAGCATTGTCCTTAGCACTTGTTATAGTACTTCTGTGCGACAATGGTTTTCACAAATTCTATTGAATCAGATTCTCTCCTTTAGACAGCACTTAGTAAAGTGCCTTGCACACCACTATTGTCCAGTACATATAATGTGGCCGTGAAAAACATTTCTAAAAGAAAAAACCTGGAGTTTCTGTAAAAGTAGTTTACAGCACCATCATCAATATCAGCAGACCACTGTGCGGAGAAATTGAACTTGGTTAAAAGTGTGTATTTGCTTGTTCAGTTTAGTAACGCATTTATGGGTGTTTTGGTTAGGTGAGCTTTTTCTTTCCCAACCTGTAAATTTTAATGTATGTAAGTAAATATGTGAAATTTAAAAGTGTTGATGTACTGAGGGTTTTTAAATCCTACAGAGGGCCAAGGCAACTGCACATGATGTAACTGTAGGTAAGATTTCTCTGTGAACTAGGGGCTCCTTTAGGGTAGATTCATGGTGAGCCAGGACAGCATGACTGAATGGTGACTAGAAAAGTCTGAATTACACTGAATGTGACTGTCTTAGAGATTACATATGCCAATTGTCCTAATGCCATAGTGATGTGATTCAGATGATTTGTACATTCCAGAGTAGCAAATATAACTTGAAGAACATAATTCAGGCTTTAGTATCAAACTGGTCACCCTAAACCCCTTTGACAATTGTCTAAAACTAAAAATGAGATAATATATTAAGTGCTTACTATGAACCATATAATGTACTTGGAGCCTACATGGGAGTGGCTAGGAGTTGTCACAATTATAGTTCCACATTTAGACTTGTAATGTGGCCCAACAAAATGATACAAGTATTCACAAAACGGAAAAAACCCGTTTCGAAATTTTAAACTTCTGGTCCACTAAGAATCACATTTAACATTTTCACAATTAGCTTATTAATTGTATTATTACATTTATATAGTGTTAAATTCAATTTTTCCAAATGAACAATTAAAAATATATCTTTCATATTTTCAATTTTTGAAAACTTGTGGGATTCTGTGAAATCAGAAGTAGCTTTCAACTTCTAAAAGTCTCTAACTGCTAAATGTTACAGGCATTATATATTTAATCCTCACAATTACCATGTAACATAGAGAATACTATTACCATTTTAGAGAAGAAACTTAACCTAAGTAGCTGCCCCACAATCACAGAGTTGGCTAGTGTCAGGAACAGTAGTCAAGCCTAGGACTAGCTCAGCCCACACACGTTGTCCACCACCAGATCATGCCTCGTACATTTGTCTTTTTATAGTCAGGACTAATAAAGTAATGTGACAGATTGAGTACAGGGGTGGGGAACATCCGCCCACAAAATCATTTAGTCTAGCCCTGCCAAGGCAACCGCAGTTCCAGCCATCACATTTGTTGTTGTTGAGTACTGTGGAGTCACTTCCGACTCACAGTGACCCTGCACAGGGTTTCTGAGGCTATAAATCTCTACGGGAGCAGAATGCCTCATCTTTCTCCTGTGAAACCGCTGGTACTTTTGATTGCTGACCTTGAGGTTGGCAGCCTGACTCATAACCACTACGCTACCAGAGCCATCACATTAGGGGTGAGTTAATTGTTTGACCAAATACAGCAGGCTAATTTTTAAGTTGACAATTTTGTATTGTCACAAATGATGTTATAAATTTTGGCAGAAAAAAAGGCTCCCCACCCCTGGTTCAGAACAGTCCACAACTCAAGACTTTGTACATCTAAAAATGAGTCGTTTCATCTATCAAAGTAGTCATCGTGGACGCTCATGGTCTTATTCCAAAGACACTAACATTAGTTAAAGGCTTTTTTTTTTT